TATATATGTCTAATAATATAAAAGATAAGTTTATACTCTATGTTTATATTTATATTCGAGGATTATATAATCCTCGAATATAAATATAAACATAGAATATAAACTTATCTTTTATATTCAAAGTTAAAAAAGCTGTTGATATGGGAATGCCACTACCTTAAAAGAAATACTTTTATCACTTTATTCGTGATGGTGATTGCATTGGTGCTTTCTAATAGATTGCATTGGTGCTTTCTAATGAATCAGGCTGGATGAATGAGGAGTGCTTTGTAACTTACATAAACCACTTTTTCGACATGTAAAGCCATCAAAAGAAAGCCCTGTGTTATTACTTTTAGACAATTATCAATCTCATTTATCTATTCAATTAATAACATTGTGTAAAGATAATGGTGTAGTTTTGCTTTCTTTCCCTTCTCGTTGCTCGCATAAGTTGCAACCTCTAGATAGATCTGTATTTGGACCATTTAAAAAATGCTAAGCTATTGCACAAGACTCATGGTTAAAAAGTAGCCCAGTGAAAAAGATGAGTATATATGATTTACCAGGAATTGCAAAAATAGCATTACAACATTCTCTTACACAACAAAATATATCTTCTGGTTTTAGAGTGGCAGGAATATAACCATATAATAAGGATATATTTTCAGACGCAGATTTTGCTTCATCACTTGTTACGGATCGTCCAGCAACCCAATCTAATGCAGCTATTGATATTAGTATATCAACTTCAACCTCAGATGCAATTCCATCTCCGGTTTCAAAATTTTCCCCTGAGGTTGTAAGAACGCTACCAAAAGTACGACCCAGGAAAAAAATACTCTCTAGATCAAAGAGAAAGCATACAGAAATACTCACAGATACACCAGTAAAACAACGTCTTATGCCTGAAAAAGAAATTAGTTCTAGAAAGCGAAAATCTGCTAGTACTTCTGCATCAAAAAAAAAAAAAACAATAAAAAAATATAATTGTTGACTTGAAATGTAATGAAACTCTTTAGTTACTTTAATGCTAGTTTGTTTTTTTATGAGCCTTTATTGCTTGGAAATTTTTTGTTTTTGTTATCAAAGTTAGATTATTGTTTATTTTTATGAAAGTTGTGTTTTATATTATTTATAAAACTACTCTTGCATTTTTATAAATTGATTTAATGTTTACTGAATAACTAAATGAATACTTTTTTAAAAAAACACTTAAAAGTTTAAATAATATATGAGCTTAAATAATAATCCTCATTATTTTCTTTCTACAGTTTTTAAAGTCTTTGAATGAAAGCATTAGTTTACTAACTAATGCACTGTTGCAATTCGCCCCGGTGCGGGGTAAAATGCAACATATTTTTGTTTCACTATTGCGGAATAACTAAATTTGATATTTTATTTATCAATGATGGATTAATACGTAACTAAAATCTATTTTATAACCCTGAAAAATAAAATCGAAAAAATATATATTTAAAGGGTATAAATTACGTTTTTAAAATTTTGTTGCAACCAACCCCGGTCTCCCCCATCTGCTTCAATGGTCAATATCCTTGGTATTGAGACATCCTAAAAATATTATAGGTGCAATCAAATCAAATGATCAACAAAATTGAAAACTTTGGTATAATTGGACCATTGTAGCTATCTCCATTATAGCCGTGTGTGATAATAACAGTTGAACTTGTTTAAGTACTCATTTATAAATTTGACTTTTATAAAGCATGAGTGATTTGAGTATTTATTATATTCAAAAAGATGGAACTCTAGAGTAGAAATTATGTCAATTAAATGAACTTTATTTAATTTTTTTAAGTATATAGGTGACATTAATGAGACAATACACTTTAAAAAATATCCCAGTGGAAAAGGTATGCATTTTAAACATTTTTTAGACGTTTTATTAGATTTAAATCTAATAAAAACGTATGAAGAACGTTTCTAAAACGCACCGTGCCCAATGGGATTTGTCTTCGACTTTTTGGGTCACTTCTTAACTGGAAAATATATGGTAAATATTTAATAAAAAGATTTAAGTAGTCGTGACGTAGTGATTCGAATTCCGGCTCAGAGTCAAGAAGTTCAAGGTTCGATGCCGGTTCTGGCCAGATAATTGATTTGATGAAAAAGGAAGACATAAATAATGATGAAGGTGTACCCGTTTCTAGTTAAATACTCTTTCGCAGAGCCGTTAGGACTTGCTAAAGCACCCTAATAACAATAATGGTAAAAAAAAAAAAAAATTAATTAAAAAATCACTTTTCAGTTTTTAATAGTGTGCAATCTACATTGTGTAAATGTATAGCGTAAAATATTTAGGAAGCACAGAGTATAGTATTAGCAAAGAAAGCTTGTTAAATATAAGTTTCCCTTCTCTAGAAGAGACAGAATTATGAAGTTTTACTAAAGGTTTTTCTATGTTTTCTCTATAACTTTTTTCAAAACATAACATATAAATAACTATTCGAGAAAAAAGAATTTGAATTAATTTGAATAAAATATATACTAACTGATTTAACCCCAGAAGCGATTATAAAAAAATGAGGGGGGTGGAGGGTGGGTGGGTGAATTCTTAAAAAGTACCAACTGGTTCCTAAAAAAAAAAAGTTCCTCAAAACAAAATTTATCTGACTGAATTGTGCTAAATACCCAACTCGCCGACTAAATTCATCAAAAAACCAACTATAACTTGAAAATCAGCTTCTTTGGGGGGTGAACACCCTCCCCTTCCAACACAAACCAATAAAATTGTCTCTGTTTGACCCTATTGGTTTCACCTGTGAAGTTTTTGTATTGTAAATGTATTGAAACATTGATTATAAAAAATTTGTGAAATACGAAGTGTCTTGCATTAGTTATTTCAATAAACTAAAAAAACTAAAACTAAAAAAAAAAAAAAGTTACTATCTGTTTTTGCATTTAATCTGGTGATTTTTTTGCACGAATCTCATGGTTTTTTTAAATTTAATGGCGGTTTTTTGCATTAATCTGGCGGTGTCGGGCAGAACCGTCCCGAAGGAGGTGTCCCCCCCAAAAAAAAGATGTGTTATTAGCAATTGAGTTAGCACATTGAGTAAGTTTTGAACTACAGTTGGCAAACTTCAAATATTGAGGACCTTTTTTTTTTTTTGGTGTTTTAATTATCAAAAAAAAATTCATACACCTCCCATGGAAGACCACTTCGGGACGGCCCTGGTGTCGGGATAAAAAACGAATATCAGGGCAGGATTGAAAAGTCTTTTTTTTCAAAAAGAATGACCTTTGTAAACTAAATTGAAAATTTAATAAAAAAAATATTAACTTTTTCAAGGGAGCAATAATACCTAACATGCTACATATATAGACCTATTTAGTTTCAGGCAAAGATGATGCATGTGGAATAATAACTTTTTTGTTATAGCCATTGAAACGAAAGGAATATCGTTTTCTTCCTATCATTTCTTCCGTGCCACAAGTTTTTAATGTCTATAAGTAAAAATTTAGAATTCTACTAACAATCTTGTTTCTCAAAATTAAATAAATATTTATAGGTAGTTTGTTAGGTATTTTTGCCTTCTTCTAAACATTTTTTTTTTTAAATTTCCAATTTAGTTTATACAGGTCATTCTTTTTGAAAAACACAACTTTTCAATCCTGCCCATCATAGAGATAACAATCATAAAATTTTAATCCTGCCCATCATAGAGAAAACAATCATAAAAAAACAATCAAAAGATAGTGAATGATGAAAGTTAGCGTTGTTCATCACCAAGGTAAACTCTTCTTTTTATCCCAAAATACTTTTTAGTGTATTTAAAAATCCCTTAAAGATGCCTGATTTCACCCATAGGCCAAAAATTAAGGCCTTGGTCTTGAAACTTTTGGCCGTAGCCTTGGTCTTGGCCTTGACCTTGATTGTTTTAAAATACACAAAACTAAAAAATTAAAAGTTTTCATTCTTTATTTTACGTAATTACTTTATTAACGTAAGGCAAAAATTAAAGTCTTGGCCTTGAAAAAGTTTGCGTAGGCTTGGCCTTTAAAGTCTTATTCTTGGCCTTGGCCTTGTAACTTTTGGCCTTAGTTTTGTAACATGTGGCCTGGCCTTTCTACTTTTGATCTTGTTAACAACTCTTATATAAATGATATTTCTATAACGTTGTTGCAATGTCAAGTTTAAATACCATAAAACATATGTTTTTATATCTTCTTTTATCTCTGCAATATTAAAATTTTATATGTGCAACTAATTTTTTTAACCATTGTTATAATGTAGAGACATTGACATTAATTAACAATTCTGCCATTATCTCCTGTAGATTATCGTTTTTGTTATCTCCAATTAACTCAAGTAGCTTATTTCTTATTTCCTCAGTACAACCTGATTGTCGAAAACCACCTCTAATACCAGGATTGATATTACCTGTTGGTATATATTGATGGACCAGGCGTTGTATTAAAGACTCACTTCTACGCACGAGCTCCGATACTTCTTTCAAAATTTCACCTTAGTTAATTACAAAATTATTGATCAAGTATCTTACTTCAACAATAATTTCTGAGTATTGTATTCGTGCGTTATTCATTTTAGAGTTTTAAAAAATTAAAGAGAAAACAGGCTTAAATCGTATATAAGGAAGTTAAATTAAGTGAAGCAATAAAAGCAAAACTATTTGTCATGATAAAGAAAAACCGCCAGATTGAATGCAAAAAATTGCTAGATTAAATGCGAGAAACCAGTAGTGTTATGCATTTATTATATATTCATCGTATGTAACGAGAAAAATGCTAGTTTAAATTAAACTTTAATGTTTTTAATTATTTTTACATATAGTCATTTTTACATAAAGTCAGAAGAATATAGTTTATATATTTTGAAAATTTTATAATAAAAATACACGCAAATATTTGGAATTGGAGAAAAAAATTTGATTGACTTTTTTTTTTTTAGTCGTAAGTGTTATTCATTTTTAAAATAGAGAAAATACAAGTCAAATAAGTATTTACCGGTTATCTCCATTGGAAACCAAGATAAATGAAGTAACCATCTTCATTTCAAAAGAACAGAAAACGCTATAAATTACTAAATACCTATCAAACAATTTTTGTTTTGAAATTCTAATATTTTAAGATTAATATGATATAAATTTGTACAATTTATTTATATTTTTGTTAAAATTTTTCTTAAGATACCTAGTTGCACAGATGAAGTCAATGGTAAGTTTGAATTTTAAATGAATTTTTTCAACGAGTTATGTATATATTTTTTTAATTTTTTAATTTTTTGTTTATTTTACCATAAATAAAAATTTACAAATGCTTATCGTAAATTAATAGAATTTGTTTAGGTGTCACTCATATAGTTACAAACTAGTCAATGGAGTGACACCTAAAAAGATTGTTTAACAAATAATAATGGTATATGTAATAATTATAGTAATAATACAAGATAATAACAATAATAATAAAGTATCAATAGTTTCAAGAATAATTATAATAAAATATAAATTGTATGTACATATTATAGATAATAATTAAATATAATAATAACATAAAATGTAGCAATATAATATAGATAAATTATAAATAAAGCCAAAATCAAACCACTCGATTCGTTAAAGAAGTTATATTTCAAAGACAACTACAGTACAGAGAGAAATTATAAAGAAATACACTCCAATAATATATTTTTAAATTGAATTCTGTTGAGCAGTAAATAATCCACAACAAGGGGATATTTTTATTTTATTTTTTATTGATGCAGGAATACACTGCTTCCATTGGGAAGTATTTTGCTGTTTTATTGAAAACTTACCATATTTAATTGTGTTAAAAAAAGAAGATTATATTTACTTACTATTTTCTGTATTCCTGGTGTGATGATTATGAATTTCATTTGTTTTAATAAAAATATTTAAAAAAGAGTTTGGTAGTTTATTATGGAGAAAGTTAAACACAAAAAGATGTCATTATTCTAATAGATGCGCATTGTAAACTAGCAATGCTATTAAGTAAAAAGTTACTTTTTTGACCCCAAACAATACAACAATAGTAAAAGTGAGGAGAGAATAAAGAAGAATAAATCATTCGAAGAGTTTGGAAAGGAACATAGTAATGAATTAGAGAAAGCATACTGTTAGTTTGTGTATGTTTTTTTTTAAATTGATACAGTTGATTATACCAAGATAGATTTTCATCAAGATATACTCCAAGATACTATATATATATTTTGACATAAAAAGTTTTTTCCGTTAATTTTAATTTTAATATTATCAATAGTTTTTTAAGGGGAATGAAAAATAACGTGATCATTTTTATTGACATTCAATGAAATACAATTACTATTTAACCAGTTACATTAGTGATAAAGATCTTGGTTAACTTTTTTGCAAAGAGTTGTAAGTGATTTGTTGATATATAAAAAATTGGTATTATCAGCATAATGATGTACCATAGAATTTTTAATGAAGAAGATAAATCATTTATATATAATAAAAACAATAACAGTCCAAGAACAGAGCCTTGTGCAATGCCATATTTATTAACTTTATTTAACCACTGTCAATTGTACCACGAATCATTTCAGTAATGCTAATAAGAGCATGAAAAATGGAGTGATTTGAGCGAAACCCAAACTGTCGAATATGAAAACAAGCAGAATTATTCAAAAAGTTGTAAATATGAACAAACATAAGTTCTAAAAGTTAGCTGACATTTGATAATAATGAAATGGGTCTGTAGTTATTACATTCTTTTTTAGATTTTTTATAAACTCGGATAACAGAAGCAGTTTTTAAAATATCAGGGAATGCACTCGTGATGAATGACAGATTAAATAATTCAGAAAGTACAGGAGAGATATTATTTGCAAAAGCTTTAAAAATAGGTATTGGAATGCTGTTAGGTTCTGAAGTCTTGCTGTCATTATGAGAATAAATATATATAAGCAATGGTATAAGCAGTTATACAATTGCTTATATATTGGAATCCTGAGATCGGAATCCTCTCTTTCGAAGAATTGTCCTAAGTATATTCTTGCATACATTTTTCCAGATGATTGCAAGTCCTTTTGCGAATTATTGGTTAATTAAATTCTTTATTTACGAAGTGTTGGATATTTTTTGAACCTTAAATTTTACAATATTGTAATTATCAAGTCAATATTTAATAATATTGTTTTTTTGATATGATATTTGTATTTCCTATGTAAAGTTACAATAGATTAGTGTTTGTTTATGTTATTTTGTTGAATGGACTTTAATGCACCCACTGTAAGTTATATTAAGTTATATAACAGGTTATTATAATAAATTATAATAACCCGCTAAAACAATTCCATAACAAAACAAAATTTATATGTATGTATATATGTATGTATATATATATATATATATATATATATATATATATATATATATATATATATATATATATATATATATATATATATATATATATATATATATATATATATATATATATATATATATATATATATATACTCAGTTGTATTATTTAGGGGAAGGCAGTATCAATTGAATCTAAACATCTGTAAAAAGTCATGTCTTTTATCAGTCAATATACACCAAAATGGTTTCCATCAAACTTCTTCGATATTAACAATAAAGAATTAAAAATAGTTGTTTGCATTGGAGGTGCTATTTTGGGAGCCAAGTTATCGCTTGACTATGCTAAAAAAATTAGTATGTCAGGAAATTCCAATAACCCACTTGTAAAAACTCTTCACAATATTTTAAAACCATATTTAAATTGTGGTCTTTTGGTTCGAAATGAGTTTTCAGTATTGCTTCCATGGCAGTTTTGTGTACTTTCAAAAAAATCTTATGTTATTGTGAATTATGGATCTTACGGTACTGTTCCAATTAAAGTTCAAAATTATCAAACTGCTTTACTGGTAAGAAAAATTTATTATTGTTATAATCAGGTTGTTTTATATATATATATATGTATATATATATATATATATATATATATATATATATATATATATATATATATATATATATATATATATATATATTTATATATATATATATATACATATATATATATATATATGTGTGTGTATATGTATATTTATATATATACATATATATATATATGTGTGTATATATATAGCGTTCCCGTGAAGCGCGTGCAGTTGCATGCCTTGTGTATATATATATATATATATATATATATATATATATATATATATATATATATATATATATATATATATATATATATATATATATATATATATATATAGCCTTCCTGGGAAGCGTGTGCAGTCACGCGCCTTGTTTGTCCACATTTAAAGTAATTTTTTAAGACTAACTGACTACGGCAGTTCACATCTTTTAACTTAAAAAGATGTGATTTGTTTATATATTCTTAGTAAATAAGTTTAGTATTTTGCGGCAAAATTTGCCGCAAAATACTAAACTTATTTACTAAGAAAAAAAAAAAAATCCTTAAATAAAGAAACAAAGTTGTAGCGAATTATCAAGTTTAGTTAAATAAACTAGAAAATTTATTAATTAAAAAATTAAATTAAAAAAAAATTTTTATAAAATTTTTATACAACTTTTATATTCTTTTTTTTTAAGTCGTTGTTGAAAAAAAATCTTTTATAACAATTTAACAACAATTAAAAGTTTTGATATGCAATTTATTCATGATTTTTATCAGTCCATATGATTAAGAAACTAATTTGCTATGCACGCTAGAACTATAAGAAATTTTGTTAATTTTTTTAACTTACATTTATTTGTTTATTACATTTATTTATTTTTATGTCTTTTTGCTTTTAAAAAAGTTTTTGCTATATTTGATGCTTTTTCTCAATACTCATATAATAGGAAAAATAAGAAAATAAATTGTTATTTATTTGTAAAAAATATTATTTAATTTTTAAATTTTGTTAATGATGGAATAAGTTAAATAAAAGAATAGCTTCTTTAATAAATGTGTTTACCGCATTTGATGCATACATGAAATTTTTTTTATTATTTTTTTTATTAATATTTACCTCCCCAAGGCCCGAGGGGGCCACTACAGTCGAGGAGGCTACTCATTTTTTTTTTTAATTTTTTGTTGTAAATTGTTGTACAACCCTCTCTCAACTCTTTAACTCCGAAACACGAACCTTGACAAACAAGGCCGCTGCACGGAGAAATTAAGTTGAGCGCGGTACTTCCAGGGACATGGTGGGAGTCGAGTGTTCCATTTGTATTCAAACTAAATAAATTAGCAAGATCTTAATTTTATGTTGTTAAAATTTTTTTTGAGGCCAATAATAATTTATTTTTGATTAATTGTATTAATAGTAACTAAGGAACCTGGTTGGTTACCAGCTATAAATTGTCAAAAATAGGAAACATATTTCTAGATAAGAATTTTAATGAATTTGTGTTTAAAGAGGTTTAGTTTATCAAAACCCAATTTATAAGTTTAATGAATTAGTCACAAAATAAGCCAAACCTAATTGTTATAATAGTTATATGGCCTAAATAATGATAATAAAGGTATAATATGGGTATAATAGTAACACAATTATGTAAAATATTGTTTATTAGTAAACATGGCTCACAAAATATTTTATTACAACTATAGTTAGTAATGCATAAAATAAGTTTGTCAATAGTTTGATATAAACTTATTTTCCATCGACATTGACATTTTTATTGTAACTACAATTTCTAAAAACAATTGAATTGAATAAAGCTTGTCCGCACATTTGTTTTGTCATGTTTTAGAAAGAAAAAAAGTTGAAAAATTATATATAATAATAAAATATTTAAATTTTACAGCTACTTACTAGTTATTTTTTTGTTATTTTATTATTATTTTTGTATGTGCATTTAATGGGTTTCATCAAGCTTTCTCATATGGGATACATTTTCAAATAGTTTCAGTATGTCTCACACATAACATTGTTAAGTTTGATAATTTTTTTTCAATCATTGCTTAAAATTTATATAGCATCTTGTTGGCCTATGCATGTCCTTGATGTAATTAAGCCAATAGAATACGTCTTAATAAGAATTCACTTGTTATAAACCAACTGTTTATGTTTCAATGTTTAAAGTACTTTTATTGGACTCAGCATCAAAAAAGCATTATAGATGTTTATTTTCATATTTTTACTTTTTTTTTTTCTCATTTTATTAAGGAAAATGTTTTTTCAAAATATTATGAAAGCGGAATCATTTTGGGAAACCAGGCCAATATTAAAATTGAAATATCTTGGGAACCTTTTAACATTTTAATCTAACATTTTTTGTGTGAAGTTTTCTTTGCAAAATGCAACAGCCAAAGAAGTTTGAAGAAACTATGGGGACCCATGGTTTAAAATTTCATAAATTTTGGATGATTAAGATGTGAAATTATTCTTTTGACAAACTGACATTGGCATTAGGATAGTCTTTTTTAAATGCAACATGTAATTAATTGAAATTAATTAGTTAAACCTTTTTTAAACATGTTGATTTTTTTTAATATTAACAAAATCTTTTTTTCCTGTCATCATTCTTTTATTTTTTGACATCATTCAAAGAAACTTAAATAAAATAAAACTATTTTGATATTTTATTTTAAAAAAATGTTTTTAAGAACATTTCAATCTTTATCATTACAAAATTTAAGTTTTTAAAATTATGAAAAGATGTTATTTTTGACTTTGATCAAGTATTAGAGAGATAATGCATGGATCTAATTTTTTTCAGTAGACTATAGATGAAGTAATGATATACAATTAAACTTTTTACCAGGGATTTTGGACAACCACCCTTCGTTTGGCTTTTAGCTCCAAAAATCAATAGTTTTAAAGTCAATATTTTTGTAAAATATTGGATATAAGAGGCATGACTTGAAATTATTAAGTCCTGATAGTGCTATTTTTAAATTCCTTAAGCTAAAAATCTATTGTAGTTTCAAGTTTTAGGCATTTAAAAAAAATTAATCTGGTTATGATGTCACTCACATAAGCTATATGATAAGTAAAAACTGGTCTAAATTATGATTAGCCACGCTCATAAATTTTATTAAAAGCTAATTAAAAGTACAAATTTTTCTCGATAGATAAAAAATAAAATTTGTATTTTTTTCCTCCTAAAACTTATCTCCTAAAACTTTAGAGGCAAACAGAATGCTGTCCAGACTTATTCTATCGGTTTACACTGATAGAAAAGTATGAAGAAAGTCGTGTTGTTGTTGCTAATGCTGTTGGTTGTCACCCTGATAATCTTGTTTTTGTTGAAAATATTACTGAAGGTATTAATGTTTCTCTTCGTTCTTTTCTTCGCAACTTTACCAAGAGTGACTCAATATTATGCTTGCGTAGCATTGGTTACAGTGCTGTTTTAAAAGCGATAGATGTGCTTGCAAAAGAATATAATGTTAAAGTTGTTAACTTGGAAATTCAATTTCCGATTCATTCAAAAGAAGATTTGTGTGCGCAATTTGAAGATGCTATTCTGAAACATCCGAGAATCAAGTTAGCAATTTTTGATCACATTACTAGTGCATCTTCTGTTGTTTTACCAATTCATGATCTCGGAATTATATGTCAAAAGTACAATGTTATATCAGTTGTTGATGGGGCTCATGCACCTGGACAACTATATTTGGACGTTGAGAACTACAATGTTGATATTTACTTAGGTATAAGTTTGTGGTTTTTAACTTTATATTTTTTCTATATCATTATTACATAAAAATTACTTGATTAAAATTAGATTTTATCTGCACTATTTACAAATCCTTAAATTCTATTTTTATTAAAAAAAATATTTTTCAAAAATAAAAAATGCTATTGGAGATTGGGACCAAAAATTGTTGTTAGGGAACTGTTCACAGTTAAGGAACTGGTAAGGAATCAGTTAATTTTTGATATAGATTGTATAAAACACAAGTATAGAGAAGAAATATATGAAATATGGAATCAAATCCAATAGTGATCATGCTAGAATCACTAATTCAGTATGTTTTGGAAATTTTATATCAACTCAGTTTTAAGCATACCTAAAATAAATTTAATTTTCTATTTATTTAATAATGCTTCAAAAAACATGATGCTTTAAAACAATTTCAGGAAATCTTCACAAGTGGTACTATACTCCTAAAAGCTGTGCTATTATGTATGTGAAGAGTAAATATCATGACCAAATGCAGCCATCATGGGTTTCACATCATGCTTATATGAACTTTCATCAGCGATTCTGGAGACAAGGAACGAAGAATTACACTGCAATGCTTACTGCAGGCTATTCTGTTGGAGAGTATATGAAGAATATTGGTGGAATAGTAAGTAGCTTATATAGTCCTATTAAATCAGAAATGTGGAGTCCTAATAGAACTCCGGCTTTATATCTTTACTTTTTTTAAGTCTGAAGTGTCCAGTAGCTCTAAACATGTTTGTTGACTTGCTATAAGGAAACTTGATCTGCTATAAGGAAAAAACTCATGAGATTTAATGACTTGAAACTTATTGTTTTTAAGCTCCCATTAAAAACAATAAGTTTCCAGGAGTCCATGTCACCATTATACCTAGGACTCCAGGTTCAAAAAATGTTTGTTTCTCTTACCTAAAAGTCTTAATTTTTTTCCTATTAGTAGTCCATAAACTTATTTATATTTTTAGAGCTCCTGGATACCAAAAACTAGGAAGAAGTAATCTGTTTGTGAATTTTAAATCCGAAGTTCTTTTTGGTACTTCGCATCCCTGTATTAAATATTTAAATAGTTTTTTTAAATATGAGTTTGTTTTAAATGTCATATTTATCTTTAAATGATTTTTTTTTCATATTCTTAGATATATCTCTAATGGGAAATAGTTATGCATAATATATTTAAAGTATAAGATAATGATTCCAATCTATTAAATCACAAATGACAAATATGTGAAAGAACTTTTTATAGAAATCTAATATATAGAAAAATGTTTTTATACAGTTTTTTGTTTTGTAAATAAAATAATTTCTTCAAACAAAATCCAAAAAACTTTAATAGTCACACAAAAATAACATAATAAATGTATTTTTGTGTCGTAATTTGAATTGAAAATAGTATTGGTTAAAAAATTGTCAAAGGAGAACAGCTTTATATTGCTATTTTATTCTTGGCCATTTTTATAATAGCCCTTGATAACAAAAACAACTTTTGAATTAAATCATGGTTTACTTTTTCTATACATTAATTAGGGACCGGATCCAAAATTCTATATTTTTTTTAACTTTACATTCAACTTCATGAAGTTGGAATTTTGATCAGATAAATTCGAGTTTGGTTGCATTTGGAAAAAAATAAGTTTTATCTTTATTTATACAGTAGTGGTGTAGTGGTAGAGCGCTTGACTCATAAGTGAGAAGTTCCAAGTTTAATTGCGTCCCTGGTAGTGCCGCTCTCAACTTGTTTCTCTGCAGTGACCTTGTTTGTCAAAGTTTGTGTTTCAAAGTTATAAAATTGAGAGAGGGTTGTAACCACATCTAAAGTAGCCTTCTCGACTTTAGTGACCTTCATGGCCTTGGGGAGGTGAATTCGAATTAAAAAAAAAAAAAATCTAGCGTAATAAATTCTTTTTGTTTCACTACCCAAATATTATTTTGCAATACAAAGTATATTTTTAATTTTGTAAGCTTCATTTAAATATTGATTAAAATCAAAAATTGCAAAAAAATCTAGAAACAATAAATTTTTAATTCTGCAAACTAACTTCTAGATAATGTGCACGGTTTTTACATGCCATTAGATATGTACTTAGATTTAAGTTCATTTGAAGATGGAGATAAATAAATTCTTTGAAAAAAGCGTTGAACCAATTAAAAAAAAGAAACCAAAAAAAAAAAGATAAAAATAAAAATGGATAGTTCTTGCAATATTTATATTCTACCTATTGTGCAATAATCAAAAAACTCAGTCTTAAGTGTTTTCTACCATGCATGCACAGAGTTTAAAATTCAATTTAAAATTATTTTTAATTAAACCTTTTAAATTAGCATTCTGTTTGCTCTGTTGGTACAGTAGTCGATATGTTGAATTTATTTTCCATCAGTTGATCTCATAAAAACTAGGTCTTTTTCTAAGTCAGAGATTTCAATTCGAATTTGTATGTTATGATTTTTAGTCTAAGATATGTTCTCTTTTTTAAAAATATTAACCAAAATGTATAATTTTACATTTACATACATTAAGTTTCATCCTCCATACTTGACCCCATTTGGCTTTTTTATCTATATCATTTTATAATTTATTTCTTAGTGTCCAATTTCTTCCAGCTTAGCAAAAATCTTACTATAATTGGTGTATATTTTTGTTACGTGGAAAAGTTGACAAGGAAAGTCATTTATGAGTATTGTGAATAAAAACGGTCCAAGTACTGATTCTTGTATTACACCACTTCACCAGTCAGTCAGGTTTTCACCAAGTACTACTTGTTGGACACCAGTCAGACAGGTTTTCATCAAGTACTTCTTGTTGTCTGTTACTTTAGAATGATTTTATCCATGCAGCAAATTTATTAATAAAACTGTATTATTTAGTTTTATGGATAACATGTTCATGCAATACAGTGTCAAATGCTTTAATGAAATAAGTGAATAGAATGTCGACTGGATCATTTTCAAAATGTATTAAAATTAATACAAAAATCTATTAAAATTAAATATACCAACATACTAAAAAAAAAAGTAGAACAATATAGCACCAGAAAAAAAAGTTATAAGTTGTTGCAAAGTAAAAATATAGGTCAACAAATCAAATTAAGCATCTTAAAAAATGATCTTGCAAAATGATTCAATTTATCACAAGCATTGTTTATGTATGCAAAATTATCAATTAAAAATTCCTATTGTAAAAAAATTATGTTATTGTTATATAAATCTGTTATTGTAAAAAAAAAAAAAGAATATGAAATTATCATTAAAAATTTAAAATCTAAATTTAAAAAGCAGCTGAAGCAGATAAAAGTATACTAGTGATGTTGTGAAATATTTTGCATTGTTTACATAAGTGGTAGCCATCTTTTTTTATATGTGATCCACTATTTTTTTTAAAAATGTGTTGCAATATACCTATTAAAACCATGACATTTAACACATGCAGTAGGTGTACTAATAAATTAAAGATTGGGGGGGGGGGGGGGGGAAAGAGTATTGAACTAACATGTTATTTTATTAATAATATTTATTGATTGAAAAGTAATTACAAAAATTCAGTTGTGAGCACCCCACAACTGTGTTCTAAAATCTTACTGTTAATGATAAGTCTATGTCTGCATGTCTCCAATCAATTCTTCATAATTTGGTAAACTTTAAACGTGAAAAAGTTGATTCACCTATGTGGATCCAAACAAGAGTCAATTTATTCGCTACATTTGGTAAAATTGAGATGCTTTTCAAAAATCATCCTCGAATTTGCTTGCTAGACGAATTTTGCTAGATTGTATATTAGATCAGTTTTTAGAGTTTTTTTTTAGAGTTATAATTATATTTTTTAGCTGTTTTTCTTCAAAATAAAATATGTCAGAAAATTTTGTGGCGCATTTTGTATTTAAATCCTTGTTATAAAGAAAAGCTTAATATTGATCTTATAGTATTTGTTAACTTTTTTTAATTTCTGCAATATATTTTTCAAAGTTATAACTGCAATTTTGATATGTTTGTAGTTGATCAGACATACTTGAAAACTGATTCAAATTATTATTTAGTTTAAGATCTTCTAGTAGTACAATTAATGCTACTAATCATTTCATTTAATGTTTTTTTTGGGTAACTTTGCAGAAATTTATTTATACTCAGCGTAAAATAATTCTATGCATAATAATTCTAGCTGTTCATCGAGTTGTTGTTGGATATGACACCATTTGTGGGCACTTTCTCAAATGGAATTAACTATTTTGAACCTTCTATCTATTTTTTTTTTTTTGTTGCATTTAATCTTTTGCTAGCAAACATTTGTTAGTGAATTATGCAGTAGTAGTTCAAAAAACTTGGAAATTCATCATCATTTCAGTATATTTATGTCGCCTTTTATTGCTCCAGCTTTATTTTTTGTTATTGAAACTAATTTAAAAAGTGGTAGTTTCAAATTAGCAAAGAACATATTAAAATAGTGAATATATCTACACTTCTAGTTTTTTCTTTCAAAGAAATTATACCGAATAGTTCTTCTTAAGTTGTATATTCTATAGAAACCATTAAAATAAAAATAAGCTATTGTACTGTGCTACATACATCTTTCAATTCATCAAATTAAATATAAAAACAAAAAATTTCTAGTTCACTGCATAACAAAATTTTGAGACTTTTTGTAAATTTTGAGTAAATCTTTAATTGCAGCAATAATTTCAACCTTATGAAAATCTTTAAAGTCTGACATTTTTAACTTTAACCCATACTTTTTAATTATTGAAATACGATACAATAAAACTCGAAACGTCATTTATATTAGAATCTTATACATTAATAATAACAAAAATAATGATTTGAAGTAGATACTTCTGCACCGACAAGTATAAGGTTCAAATATTAATATCATGTTTAATAAATAATTTCTGCAAAAAAAAAGTTATTTATCAATGACTTTAAGAAGTTTGAGCAATATTAAAGTTGAAAAATATCCTTTTGTTTTGGTTTTGAACATGTATGAAAAAATACATTTTTAGGTGAGTCCAAAACCAGTATTAAAAAGAGGCTTAAGTTGTTTTAAAGTTAGGTAGCATTATAAATTGGTTCAAAATTGATTTTTTTTATTCGCAATTATTTTTTTTAATTGTTTATTTTGATAATAATTGCTTCCGTTTTCCATATTCGAAACCACGATTTAAACTTTAACTAGCATTTGTACAGAATTTCATATATTATTTTATACATATTTTAGAATTTCTTTACAATTATTTATAAATATATAATTGCATTTGCTAATTTCCAGAGCCATCTACATTCTTATATAACTCCACTTGTTGAATGGGCTGTCCAATTATACATCCATGAATGGGGTACAGAAGAAATTCAAGTGCCGCCAGATATGAAAGCACCATACATGCGAACTGTGTACTTGCCAAACGTCTTTACTGAAGTTTACGGAGGCGACAGCATTGCAGCAGACGCATTGATAAAGTCTTTGATAAAAGAGGAAAGATTAGTGATTTTCATCAATCCTGTTCAAGGTCGCTTATCCACTAGAGTTTCAGCGCAAATATTTAGCACGCGTGCCGAATATACCTATGCGGCTGAAGTTATTAAAAGGAAAGCATTAGAGTTAACAGAAAAACTAGCCGGACAAGAGGTTGTTAACTTTTAATGCAAGTAAGAAACTTGAACATTTTTTCAAAATAAAATTTGGTAAGTGTTTTTAGAAAAATTTGTGTCATTTCATCAGACTTTAGACATTTTTTTTCCGAGTAACTTAAAATATTTTAAACTCTTACGTTTACATCTGTTTACGAGAAAACAAAGTTTTAATTGTGGTGCCTAACAGCGAGTATTTTTAATTGCGTGCATACGTATAGGAAAGTTTAAAAGAAATTAGGATCACTAAGTGCTTATTTAAATAAAAGTGCAATTGTTTTAGAGAAATCTAATGTCATGGAAACTTAAAAGTATAACATTTTATTTTTTTATCGAAAGTTTGATAATTGTGTTTAATCAGATTAATGTTAGATCAGAAGTGATCACTGTCACAAACAGTCTGATGAAAAAGTATTTACTTACTATTAAAAATCAAAAACAAATATTTTTTTATAAATAAATTTTAAAAGACAAGTATTTATATAACTTCCAAACAAAAAACTATATTTATGTAATCTATAAACTATATTCAATATTGCATATAAAAAAATTTCATGTATTTTCTATATTTTTAGTATATAGCTATGCTATTTAAAAAAGAAATTTAGATAAAAACTTAGATAAATAACAATAATACCTATCTATATAGCATATCTTAATATTATATCTATAATCTATATAGTTTGTATGCAGAAACATTTAAATTGTCAACCTTACTCGTAAAAAAGGAAAAAAACAGTTTCTAAAAGAATGTAGGGCTTTTTAAGTGTTACATAATAATTTCAGAAAATATATTAAATTTTTTTTTTTGAATGCATAAAGGTTGGGTAAAGTAAAATTGACACTTTCTATTTCTTATAATTATCTAAAAAATCATACAGAATGTTATCATACAGAAAAACAATGGGCAGGGTTGAAAAGTAATATTTTTGTCGCTGAAGGAAATTGATACACTAAATTGTTAACTAAATAAAAAATAAAAGCGCGTAGAGGTTTTAATGATATTTTAGAAACTACAAATAATGTCTTTATAAAAAAAATATTTTTTTTTATAAAGACATTATTTGTAGAGTTCTAAAGTTTCTGCAACAGGCCTTCAAAACTTGTGTTACGGAAGGAACGATAGAAAAGCCGTAAAATTAACAATCTATTTTGGGTTAAAATTCTATCAAAATTAAGAGATACAGCAAAAAAAAAAGTTTCTTTAAAAAGGTATAAGACCTTTACCTTAAACTTACAAAAGTGTTCTTGACAAATATTAAATTTTTTTTTTTTATTCTAAATCAATTAAAGTCATTTAATGTCATGGAAGGGCATGTCACGGAGGGATAAAAAGTACACATTAATGAGGCTACCATATAATTCTTTTTTAAGCAAACAAAAACAAAATTTTCATAGACTTCATAGATTTTTTCATCATTGTCAATAATTTTGAATTTCTCCTACAGCTTCTCTATTATTTTTTTCCCATGGCAACGATTTAAAAACATCTGATGATTTTTTAAAGGTGCAGTTTAAATATAAGTTAACTGAATTTTGATTTATTCTTCTAACATGGTGAACCTTTAAAGTTCCTTGAGTATAAATGCTATCATTTAAATTTGGTGACTCTTTCTTTTGTGTCTAAGTAGATTACTGTAATGTCGCTCTGTATAGCCGATTAGCTACTTCAAAAAACTATTTAGCATTTTCAATTACAACTTTAGATGACAAAACTTCCCTGTAAACTTGGTTTTTAATAGTTCCACCAATTCCATCATGGGGTCCTTTAAAGTGATGTGCCTCACCATAACTCCAAGTCGATGTAATATTTTCAAAGTAGTAAGAGAAGGACCGAAAGACAAATTGAGATCAGAACTGATCAGCACATCCGTCACTCCAGAAATGGAAAGTGGAAACTGATGGAGCTATACCCTTGATGATGCTTATAATCCGGTTGTTGTTTGTAAATGCAACATTGTGATCATGTTTTGTTTCATTTGATATGATTGCTACTGGAAACTTTACCAAATTAAAATTTTTATCAAGTTTACCATTCTGAACTGTGATACTTTTATGGAAGTAACAAGCTGCTGTAAATATGGTAAAATGTTCATGCCCAAAACAAGCACTCTGGATCTCATGGAGTTGTTTATTTTCGTAGTTCTTGGAAAAATCGACACGGATTATTACTTCATCTTCTTTGAGATTTGCCTTCAGCCATTTTAACTCTGAAAACTGACGGTAAATATTATACTTATGCATTCTTATTTTGCTGCCATCAACTATTTCTGATAAAAGCATTGCAGCTTCTTCACCAGTAGCTTTTTCTTGAACTTTTCAAACGACCTTTTTTAAGGTTATCCAACGGTAATATGGAAAAACATCAATTTTTTTAAATTCTTGACACAAATCAGATATTATGGTTCTTCCAGGATATTTTAAACAATTGCCTTTCATGCATATAAGTGACTTGAAAGAGCATACACCAGGTTCCACAAGATCCAGTGGTTTAGCTGACAGATTTTCAACAATTTCATTTTTTTTTCTTTGATAAAATATTTTTTTATTGCCTGTTGCAAAAGTTGACCATTTTCACACGTTTCACATCGACAATCCTCTTCTGGTGTTTTACTTAGCATAATCAGGTTATTTTCAGCATTAATAACTTATCGTAACTGATGATAAGTGATTTTAATGTCATTCTCTTTTTTAAATAAGTAAACAAGTTCTCTGAATGTATAAAGCATGTAATGCTTTGAACTATAGACTTTAACACCATTAGATTTTTCACAGTAAACAGTATTTTTCCTGCCTGGGGAACAATAGCTTATATCTGGTTGTTCTGAAAAATGAACTACTTTTTCTTTACTTACCTGTATCATTGATGGCCTTCCAATTTTAAAAGATAGTTTACTTCTAGAATTCTTATGCAAAGTTTATCGCCAAAAAAAAAAATGTTTTTTTTTTTTTTTTTTGGCGATAAACTTTGCATAAGAGCAGATAAAACTTTAACTTTAAGTGGACTTTTTGGCATAACTCGTTTTAATAAACGATATACCATTTGATTTGTTGTTCCATCTTTGTGTACTGTTTCCTACTGAAAATAAGATAATGCTTATCCAAAGAAAAAATAAAAATAAACAAAAACATATTAATAAAATACATAAGGAATTATAATAAATCATATGAATAACATACAAAAATCAAAATAAATGGCATAGTTTTACAATAAAAGCAAAAATATTTGCAATTACAAAAAGTGCTAATTACATATAAAATAATATCTTAACATTTTTACCTGTTTCTTTTTCAAAGCTCTTTCCAACTTTTTTTTTTCTCTGTCTTTTTTCAACTTAGGCTCATATTCTTTAGTGTTTTTTTTTAAAGGTTCTAACTTTGCCTTCTTTCTTTTTTAAGATATTTCTCATTATTAGTTTCTTTCAGTCTAGATAAATATTCTTTCTGCCTTTGTGAACCAGGCTTTCCCATTTTTTTTTTTAATTAGTTATAGTCTGAAAGCAAAAAGGAACAAACAATCCTATCATAAAATATAGTTACACAAGTACAAAATAAACTTATGCAAGAAGTAATCCAATTGTCACGGAAGGACACACATTCATTGTCACGGAAGGACACCAAATTCAATCCCTATTTAAAATGTTTATGATGAATTTGGCTTAAGCTGCAATTAAATCTTAATAGAGTTCCTTAAAATCTAATACTCTGTAGAATTTAAGATATATATACGGCCGATAAGAAAAAACTTTTTACTCAAAATTTGTCATAGAAGGATTCATACTTTTTGTATAAAATGTAATGCATTTTCTAACATTGTCATCAATGCTAAGAAAATGTAAATATTTTTTTGAAACACATTATACTTGGGTATTTCTAAAAAAATAGTGAAGTCTTTCAAAAAAGTTAGATGCATTCTAGATCTTCCAAGTTTAATTTATTCTGTTTGTCCTTCCGTGACAATGAACAAGGTTATAGGTTGACATTAAAGTGTTGATAAAGGGCAACTAACAGTCCTATATTTATATTTAAGGTTAAAATTGTAAATTTAGCTATTCTGCAAATGAAAAATGTTGGAACAGTTAGAACATTTTTTTTTCATGTTTTATGTCACTACTTTTCAACCCTGCCCCAATTATCTATGTATTAGTATTTCAGTTAAAATATTTTATTTTAGAAAAATTTTATTATTATTCAAAATTGCACCAAAACAGCAACAAGTGCGTGATGCAATTTTGCACGCTCGAATGGAAAATCCTAATTTCCCTCTCAAATCGATTGTAAAAACTGTTGGATGTTCTAAAAGCACTGTGAGTAGAACTTTAAATATGTATTTGACACTTAATACAATAAACAGAAAGCCTGGAAGCGGCAACAACTTGAACATTAACAAAAAACTGAAGATGAATGTTTTGGCGAAAACAAAAGCAAATCCTAACATTTCTGAGCGAGATTTGGCAATAAATTGCAAAACTAGCAGACAAATGGTTCGGACTATCAAGAAAAAGCATAAAGTTAAGTCCTTCAAGATGTATAAAGTTCCATATCGCAATGCTGAAGAAAATTTAGTGGCAAAAATTTGTGCAGGAAAATTATACAAGTTATTGTGTAGAAGAAAAAAAAAGTATAATTATGGATGATGAAACTTATCTGAAATTAAATTTCAAAATGATTCCAGAACATCATTTTTATATGGAGTCTCCAGGAAAAAGGTAAAGGCTAAATATAAAACAATAAAACTAAAAAAAATTCCCCCCAAAAATTGTGGTTTGACAAGCCATATGTCAATGTGTATTAAAAACACAAAGTTTCGTCACTAATTCCACCATAAATAGTGAAATCTATCAAAAACAGTACCTTAAAAAGCCCTAATTGGCATTGTGGAACGCCCACGATGGTAATGCAATCTTTTGGCCTGACCTAGCGTCTTGTCATTACTCCAAATTCACGTTAAACTTCTACAATGCCAATAGTATCAATTTCATACCTAGAACACACAATCCTGCAAATTGTCCTGAACTTCGTCCAATTGAGCAATATTGGGTGATTATTAAAGCCAAATTACGTGAGAAGTTTAGGCAAGCAAAATCAAGTA